AGAGGTTCTAATCCACCGTGTTCAAATATTTGCACTTTACCCGTGTACTCTACGGACATGTTTGCGAGACAAAGACTGGCAAACTCATGGATAACTACTTCTTCTGTACACCAAAAATAAATAGCACAAGAATGGTAAATGCTTATTCAACCGCTGCTTTAAAATATGCTTTGAAAACCAAAGCTCCACAAATCACACCTTGCGTAGAGCCTACCGTTTTTATAAACTCAAAATGGAGTGTGGCTTGAGAGATTTTAATGACAATTCACAATTAACATTTCATGAACTATTTGCAATATGTAATTTAATCAAATGTAAAAAATAAACCGGTTCTATTTTTTTTTTGAAACAGATGTAGAATGCAAAGTTACCTTCGGGAGCGAGCTGGGCAACGACAGAACTCATGACCTCTAACTCCCTTAATAATTTTCTAACATCACCTACAAAGGAAGAAAGAGAACATTAATGTTTATTAATGATAACAACGGCAATGGCTATTGAACAGTCTCTTATGAGATACGCAATATTATTATCTAATTTTACAGACAAGGAAATTGAAGCTCAAAATCACACAGCAAGTGGAGGGGCAGGTTCCATACCCAGGTCAGCCTGACCCCACACTAACTGTCACCGATGTTCCTTCGCTGTATCGTGAGCTGTACCACCTTCCCAAACATTAGGAACGATGACTGTAAATGTGCAAATGTGCCTAGAACACATATTAGAAAAGTTGAGCTACTGCGCCCTACATTTGTTTGTTATATAATTATCATTCGTTTGTTTGGCTGGGAAGTTATTTTTAAAATTTGATTTTAATAAAACTTATACAGAATGCAGATGAGAATTATCCCAGCCTATTTCAATTAATACATCTTGATTGCTTACATTGCATTGGACTGTTAGAAATGCCCAAACTGCTTAAAAACACAATAAAGTGTACTGATTTTTTTAAAGCGCACTTTTGTACTATTGGTATTAGCCTAATTGAGGCAGGACAGGTACCCCTATGCGCCAGGCTCTAACCTCAGTTCTGCTACTTACCACCTGCGTGATTTGGGGCAAGTAGCCTAATCCTTTGAGTATCTTTCCTATTTTTAAAATGAGGAGTTGCACAAGAGGTATTACAAGGTACTGTTGTTTCTCAAAGTCCCTTTGTTTCTCAAATTCATTATAAAACATAAGAAATTTTAAAATCTTCCCTTTTTTTGGTTATAGATTTTCCCCTTTTGGTTTTTGGTTATACATTAATATGGCTCTAATATAGGGTTATTATACAGACAATCCTTGAGATAAATGTACGGAGGCCCCATAATTCAAGTGATTACTTCCTTATTTATCTTCTTTATGCCTCAGTTGCCTGTATGTAAAGGAAATCATAATAGCACCTACCTCTCAGGCTTGTTTGTTAGGATTAAATGATTTAACATATAAATAGCACTCAGAACAGTGCCTGGCACATTGTCAGTGCTATGTAAGTGTTAACTAGTATTGTTATCATAATCTAACAATCTTGGGGGGACATCCACTCCACCATGACCGCCCTCATCCTGCCGCCATCTCTGGGTAGACACTCCCAGAGCCCCTGCCTTCCGGCACAGCCACGGCAGAGCTCCTCAAGTTGCTGCCGTCCACTAACTGCCCCAACAGAGCCCCCTGCCCCTAGCACTGTAGGTTCTGTGAGACGCAGGCTCTGCAGCTAAGGACGATCTCCTTTCCCTCCTCTGCCCATCCTCCACTCACAACTGTCTCTGAAGACACTGATGCCACAGTCCCTGCTGGACCCCATGGAATAAGGAGTCCTCATTGTCATCACCCAGGGTCCAGGAAAAAGAAGGGGCAGGAAGTAGGGGAAGGAATCTGTGCTTGTGTTTTACTGAGGCCGTGGTAAGAGGGGGTAAGTACAATGATTTTAGCCACGTACCATGATAGAGACACATGTTTACTCCCAGAAGCCTGAGGTTCATATTAGAAATCAGTCCCCACAAATGGTGTCATTTAACATTTATTATAAGTTACAAGGTTTTTATCAGCTGACTCAAAAACTACCATTATAACATAGGGAAATGATAAAGAAAATATATCCTATTAAAAGTCAGAGACTGACTTTATTGGCATGGTTTTAGTCAAACTGAAATTCTAATAGACATAATAGCATATTTTAACTAACACTATTGTACCATCATATTAAATGTGTGAAAATATTCCAAACAAGTAATAGGTCTGATTCGAAAAGTAAATATATGTCTATGTTTATTTTTGGCAAACTATAGTTTGCAGTTCCAAAAAAAATCAATTTATCAAAACTGTTTACTCTGGGCTTCACCCACTATGGAATATATAAGAAGTGTAACATACATATAGGCAG